TATAACTTGAATTTTTTTAAGTGCAAGCTAGAAACACTTGCATTTTTGGTAAAAATAAGGGGAATTGAGTGGGTGTTCGATAGTGGTCGCGCTATTAGAACTCTGAATTCAAAAATCGATATCTCGAAATCTATTAGAAATAATAGATTGTAGTTTTTTCAAGAACTTTGTTAATATTTCTGCTGTATTTTCTTTGTAGACAGTATGTGAAAATCTTTATCAATAAAAAAATTACACGATTGCTTAAAATTGCTATGCTCTAAAAGTAAATGGATGGATTGTTTACAATTTTTAAATGGAAAAAACAACCTTATAGAATTTTTCTTATGTAAACATATTGTAAAATATCCGATCTTGACAATAAAAAAAGTTTCAATATCTAAAGTGGTTCTTGAGTTATGGCCTCTTATGTGTTAAAAAGTTGAGTTTTTAAATTATCGCGATTACTGACGTTTTCTCGTTATAAAAAAATGACACCCTAACGATATCCTTATAATTCCATTTCAGATGCTCAGAAACATGTCTAATGATATTATCTAGTTATCTCTTGAAAAAAAGTCTTTTAAAAATAAGTGGTTTGCCATCGTGATTTTACTTTACTTGGTAGGGAATTGTGTATCGGCAACGCCGCAACAGCACACCGTCGCGCGTCGCCGTCGCGTCGGTCGGTCGCATTTCTCTCACTCCGACTTAATAAGATCCCTATGCGATTTACTTCCACACATGTAAACGCCGACCCAAAAGTAACAGTTACCAGCACGGTATATCTTCATTATTTTCATTTTTCCCTTTTTTGGAGGACACCCCGTAGAACTATCTGTGTTTTTTTAAATCTTCTAAATTGGCATACATATGATCACAAAATTTCATTTCATTTTTTTTATTATAATGGCGCATTCTCACGGACTCATGTACTTGACAAACATTTGTTAATTGATATATACAGGGTATATATGGTGCGTCGATCATCTATACAGAATTTCTAAGTTATTTATTATAGGAACTACGCCGCATTCTCGCCAGACCTTGTATGTCAATAAAAATACTTGCCAAGTACACGAGTCGTGAGAATGCGCCTTAATATTATAGTATAACCACTCTAGACCAATAAAAAATATACTCTTTATTTTGTTTTACATAAAAGCCACATAAATATAAAAATATTTTCTGCCAAATTTTTTTTTCAATGCCGTAGCGAAGCCCCAACCCCTTATATACATATATTCAAGGCCGATTAAAATTCGGAGATTTCTGCAGAAAATATTCTTTTAAAAACAAAGTATTAAGAATAAATGAATTTCATAAAGTTATCTTAATTGAAATTCTAATTTTATTCTCTTTAAGCACTTCTTTAATTTACTTTCCATTTCTTGGAGAAATGCCTAAATCACAGCCAAGATTGAATAGACAGGGTTGTCCAAATTGTATTCGGGAAACTTCGATAGCATATTCTGCAGATAAAAATAAATAAAAAGTCCGTATAAATTCATTTCCTAAAATTATTCCTTTCGGAGATACAGGGTGTAGAAGTTTTTAATTGTGTTTTAACTGATTTGAAGAGTTTTCGTCCATATTTTTCATATTTTTTAATTTGTTTTAAAGTTAATCATGATTTTTTCAAGAAAAAAATACGATAAAACAGTTTCATTTGAATCTTTAGTACAAAAACATCAAATTTATTATTTCAGGCTAATAACCATCCAGTCAACTGGTATAACTTTTGTGAATTGTGACATGTATTCACTAATTCGATTCCAAATATCTTAAGAACCATTACTCGTAGCAATATTTCACAAGAGATCTTTTTTACGTAAAAAACGACAAAAATGTATATATTTTCACTCATAAGTGTAATACAAGTACGGACGAAAAGTTATTACTCTTCATAACAATTAAAAATAAGTGGCAACCCTTACATAAGACACCTTCAATACCAGTCGTGTGTGATATTTGGTAGTGTCGGATTCTTACCAACTAAAAAAAACATCGTCCCCTCGTTTTCCCTTCAATGCACCGGTAACCGCTCTCGCATTTCTTCAGTACATTAGGCCGTCTAAAGACGATGTTCTATTTCTTTGGTCTCAATTATGTCTCTGATCGTCCTATATGCACTTTCCCATGATGCTATGCTCTTAGTTAAACTTTCCATCATACTATAGCTATTAAATGTAAGTCCTGTAAGTATTTGGAATCGATATCTTTATTGACTCCACCACCGGGAACAGTCGTACAGGTTATGTTCAACGTCATTCACTGCGTCGCAGTATTTGCACAAGTCAGTATTGGACCTTTTTCGTTGTAAGAGATACTGTCTAAAACACCCGTGTCCTGAAAGTGCTTGAGTCAAAAAGCAGCCCACACTTCACCCTTTGAGTTCATCCACGTCTCGATGTCTGGGATAAGCTTGTGCGTCCAGCGTCCGTATTTTCCGTTGTCCCATTTTTGCTGCCAGCTGGGAAATTTGGTTCTTTCGGGCTTCTTCTTTTGCAATACCCTCATAAACTTTAAGCCTTTCTGTTATTTGCAGTTCTATGGGGGGAATTTTTGATATTACATTTACGGCTTCTGTAGAAATTGAACGATACGCACATGCAACTCGGATGCATGCAATTTTCTGAATCCTACCTAGCTTTTGTACCAGTCTTTTATTTTCCGTCGCCTTGTGTCGCATATAGAATTTGTGAGTGGATCACACCGTAACCACCGTAATAACAAGGCCGGACAGCTTACTCGTGACGTCATGAACTGGAGGCCTAAACTTTGATTGCATTTGATACACTTTATACGTATATAATGGATATAAACTTTAATTGCACCGAATTATTAATAAATAATAATTAAACATAAAATTTAAAAAACATCAGATTGATATCCCATCTCACATTATCCATCGTCATTGTATTTATTTATGCTGTGTGTCTAAGTTTCTTTTATTTCCTTTTCCAAGTCTATCATTATTTTTTAACAACAGTAGTCTTTCAGACGTGTATTTTTAATAGAATTTATGACAACTTTTACAATAACTTAGCATTATAAATAAACTGCGGAAATTTTAATAATAGTGTTATTACTTTTAATGTAATCCAAAGATATTTTTGATAAAAATATTTTTTTATTGTGAATTTTGAGAAACTCCTCATGACTTTGCAAGACTTTGTCAAAAATTATATATCCAAATAAAACTATATTAGTTATTTCATCTCCTGGAAACCCAAGACTGTCTTTAGTAAGGTTTTTTATAAGTGAATTTTGTTCAATATCAGTGTTGTCTGAAAATGTTAAATTATTTTTAGGGACATTAATGACTGAATCTTAAAGTTTATTAAGTTTCTTTTCGCCTTCGTATAAATGTCGAACACTAATACTGTAGGTACCGACTCCCGGCTAACTGTCTATATTTTCCAAACCTACTTTCAAGAGGATCAGTTTGCAAATTCTCTAGTAAAACATACCTCATATTTTACTCGTTAAAACAATCTTTTATTACTTCAAGCTCAACCTGTTACTCAACTCACGTTAATAACTCTAATATTGAACACAGATAAAAGTTTTTTAAAGAATTTAGTAAATAACAAGCATGACTAATAATTTGATCAGTATTACTATCAGGGTTCGGAAAACTACATGTTACTCTTAAAAACTACATAAACTACATTACATGTAGTTAATCGATGTAGAGGGTGTAGTTTATGTAACTTTCAAATATGAAAGGTTTCAGGTGAGGTAAAAGATAAGTGAAAGCTTTAGAAAATACATATAAATATATTTGAGAAAACAGAAGAAATATAGCTTTAAATATAATATTCACATCTTATTATTTAGACATTATAAGGCATTATACCTTTTAAATTGTATAATTGCACACACTTATAATCACTTTATAGTTTAAACACCTCTTTTTACAGAACTTTTTTCACCCTTTTATTATCGATTATAATTACCACGATATTTGGTAAAATTCGAGTTAATAAACGTGTGGTGTTCTCGACCTTTTCTATGGTTTTATTTATATGCTCAGCGAAGGTTCTTTATGTGTCTAGCCATATGCCAAGGTACTTAATAGCTCGCTTTGGCATAACTATAGTGTCTGTTATCTGAAACATTATACGAGACAGCTTTCTTTTTGTAGTTAAAAGAACGGCTTCGGTCTTCTAAGGGGCCAACCTCAAGTTTCTGCTAAGCAGCCATTCGGACCACTCTGTATAATCGGTAGATTTCCGAAAAGACTATCGAACTGTAGTGTTGTTCTCTCAGACTATTTTGTTTTTAATTAAAACGTGATTTTTTTTAAATAGTAAATTGTATCTTGAGACGCTAGAAAAATACCGTATGATCGAAGCGGCGTCAAACGGGAACGACAATCGATAATAATTTTGGAGAGGTCAATCTCCTAGACTTTATAATAAAAATTGACATAAAACTTTTCAAAAATTAATAGTAAATAAAAGGTCTGGCAATAGTGCGTCGGGAGAGAGCAATATAGCTCCTAGAATAAAAACTTGGGAATGGAATAGGAAGTGTGAACCAAAAAAAAAACTTAAAACCTGAAAAACTTAGGAAAGGTAAACCTAAACTATATACTAGGATGTATTTCAAGAAAATATTTAACTTCTACAAGGTGGCCCAAAAATGTGTGAGTGGATCGGGATGATTTTTTTTAAATGGAACACTTACATAATCGTAAGATATGAGTAAATATATTTCGTCATATTTTAGTCATGTTTCATGGCTAATCTTGCTGTAGGTTTGCCTAATAATTTCATTCTTCTTTTTTTTAAATATATTTCGATAGTTTCGTAGATTTGGTAGGTAGGTTTGCTTTATATATTTATTGGTAATAAATGTTTAATCACCGTAATGTCTAGTAAACAAATTTACTAAAATGTAAGTTACACCAGTACGTCTGATAGTATTTTACTTAAAGGAAATCATTGGCCACTGTTATTAGGCGCATGTATTCAATGCAGAAAGTAGAATACAGAAATAAAACACTACAAAAATTAATAAACAATACTTTAATAATCGTATATATGAACAGGAAATATAATAGGACTAATACTATTATAAAAATCATCGTACATTTTGTAACAATCGCTAATTCGTTCAGGTGTTGCGTATTTCAAATCCGTCCACATTAACTTCAGTAATTTTACGCAAATAATAACCTAAAAGAAAATTTATATCTAAATGTGGGTTTACATGCATCCGTAATGCGTCGTTACGTTCCTCCAATCATATTGCATAGAATCCACGATGGACGGCGCATGACAGATGCACGGACGACACTTAGGCATATACATATAACTAAAATATACTCAGCCTAATCTCCAAAAAGTGAAGCCCAAATAGTGAAAGAGAAATATGGAATTCTGAATAAGTCTATTTCACCCTGATATTAATTTAACTGCGCATGCCTTACCTGAAGATTGTTCATCGACTTCAGACTTCATTGGTCGGTGTTTTTAAAGGGAAGTGGTTGACTGACATTTTTGTTTAAGAACAAATCTTTATTAAACCAACAAACTATTACAGTTTACAAAGGTTTCTCCTATAACTAAACAACGCATAAATAATTAACTAAATGTAAGGTACAAGTCTTTTAGTGCTAGTAAGATCTTGAATATCACAAATGGAGCATGTGAGCGAGCAATAGGACAACTAAGTTACTTATCATTAAAATATATATTTTTTTCTTATTCATTTAACTTAACCTTCAATTTTATTTATATTTTTATTATTTATAACACATTATCATGGAGTTGGAAAAATATCAAAAAATAGTTGGAAACAATAAACTAAACAAAATCACTCTCTTACGCGCACAAATAAAAAATAATTCAAACAGAACTAAAACAACAATCAATCGGAGTTTGGCGCAATCGCAGTTCAATCGATATCCGGGTGAAATAGACTTATGCAGTATTAATACGGAGCTGGGTTGTTGTCTTTCTCTTACGGCACAGAAACTGAACACGGGGTTAAATGGGGAACCCTGAGTATATTTTAGATATATGTATATGCACTTAGGTTATAAATAAATCTTAAATGATACCCCTCTACCTACTTAACTTTTAAATTCCGAAGTTTACAAGTAAGACTCAAATAATTAGGTTCCGAATGTATGTAAGACAATTGGATTAAACATGTTAAAAATGTAAATATAAAAAGTTAGATGATACATAAATGTATTTTCTTCTATAATTGGAATTTCAATAAAAAAAATAAGTAAAGAATAAAAAAAAATAAGTAAATATCTAGAAAAATAAAATTCCTAGCTTTGATCTAGATTTTCAAGTAGTCAGATCAGCGAGAGAAAGTATAATTTCACTAACGGATAATAATCAGCCACCTAATGTTTAATTATAATGGCAGACAACTGTCAATGTAATAATATACAGGATGGTTCGAATTGTATTCGGAAAACTTCGGCAGGATATTCTGATATACGGTAATCGCCAAACCAATTCCGATACACGTGATCAACTTTAAGTGACAAGCGATGGCGACAGCGCTGCCAGATTGTGATGCATTTATAGGATGAATCTTAATGGGGAAACAATATATTTATTATATAATTTTTTAGACACTTTTACCTTTTTTTATTTAATCTAGTAATTAATATTTTAGTAATTAATTGATTTATTTGTTTTATAACTTATTTTACTTACGTATTCGCAAAAACTAGTCCATTATGAAGATTATTAGCGCGATATTATGGGCTATTTATTTATTTATTGATGTACAACTTACAACACCACAACTGGTAATAACAAGTAAGAGGGTGCCATTAATGCACAAACTAATAATCACAGAATTTACTAAAAACTAACCTAGAAATAACTTTGAAAGTGGTATAATGTTCTTACCAATCAAACCAAACCTTTATTGTCACGTTCTCGTTGAAAATAGTTTATCAGAGAAGCTACAAGCTCATTGTTTCGACTGTTTAAATGCTTCGGCATATTTTCAACACACAATTTCAAGAAATGCAATACAAAAACTAGAATATTTAGTTCTTAAAGAACTGTTTGTACTTAAAAGTACAATTTATAAAAAAGAAGAATATGAAAATAGGCAAAAAACGAGAATTATTAGCAAAGATTCAACAACAAGACGATATTACACAAAATAATGACTGGCATTATGATAATTGGCAAATAATAAACGACAACGTTGCTGAACACGGCGCAATGTGACCAACATAGCGATAATAAAATTCGGTTTAAACTAATTTTTGTAGCTTTAATCTAAATAAAGTCGTATCTGTTAACAATAAGAAATTTTGCGAAAAATCTTTAAATTTGTTGTATAATTTAAGATACCGAGCAGCTCTTCATTTTACTTTATAGAGCAAATGATTGTTACAGATATTTTATTTAGATTAAAGCTGCAAAAATTAGTTTAAACAAAATTTTATTATCGCTATGTTGGTCACATTACGCCGTGTTCACCAATGTTGTCATTTATTATTTGACAATTTATATCACAATATTTGTGAACAATTCTCGTTTTATTGCCTATTTTCTTAGTCTTTCTTTTTTAAATTTTTGTATTGCATTTCTTGAAATTGGGTGTCGAAAATGTGTCGAAGCATTTAAACAGGCGAGATTGTAGCTTCCCTGATAAACAATTTGAATGAGAACGTGACAATAAAGGTCCTTTATTACCCTTGACTGCAGTCAGAGAAGTAAGTTTGATTAATAAGCACATTATACCACTTTCAAAGTTAGTTTTTATTAAATTCTGTGGTTATTAGTTTGTGTATTAAATAGCACCCTTTTACTTGTTATTAGCACTTATGGCGTTGTAAGATGTACATCAATAAATAAATAAATAAATAACCCATAATAACGCTTAGAATAATATTTATAATGGACTAGTTTTTGCCAATATGTAATAAGAAAATAACGCATAAAACAAATAAATCAATTAATTACTAAAATTAAAAATAAAACGTAAAACTCTTTTAAAAAGGTTTTTATAATAAATATTATTGTTTGTCAATTTTAAATTAAGATTCATCTCATAAATCCATCACAATCTGGCAGCGCTGTTGCCATCGCTTGTCACTCAACATTGATCACGTGCATCGGAAATTGTTTTGCCATTTGGTAATGGCAAAACAATTTTAACAACTACGAACTTTTTTCCTTATTTTTATCTTAGAAGTATCCCGAATACAATTCGAACCACCCTATAATATAGTCTCTGGTTGGACAGACAATATAACTTTAAAAATATATCCTACCATTCTACACTTACATTATTCGTTCTATCCTTCTCCATGGTACATTCTCCCAGATTCTTTATAGTGGATGAAACGGAGTTGATAAACGACGCATGAGTATCAATGAGCGATTTCAAATCGTGGGCTTTCTCAAACTCTAATTCATATTTAGACAATTCCTTGCTAAAAATGAACCCGCAAACGAAATGTTGCAAGTTGTTAAGGATATTTATCAAGTAAAACTTTAAGCGTATAAGTTTCGCGGTCGGCTTGTTCTGGTGGGAGATGGCCTTGTAGGTCTTTTGTGACTTCTTCATTGATTTATTTTTGGATTCCAAGTCTGGAAACAAAAAGAGCATCTACTTACTCGGCTTTTATGGCGGAAAATGTCATCGCAAATGTTCGTGCAGAAAATAGTAAAATATCACGAAGTTTAGTAGAATATACAGAAGTTTTAAAGAAAGATAAATTACAAAGGTCGGTCGTAAAATAAATAGTTGATAGTTTAAAAGTTATCTAAGTTTGAAATTAAACCGATCCGTAACAACATGTAAAAAACGTTACTAATAAGAGTAATAAAAATAAATACATCTCTATTTCAATTTTCCAAATGCCAATAAACAAGGTTTTATAAAGCTAAAAAAATGTGTCGCAGAATGCTATAAAAAAGTTCCTTTAACACTTAAATATAATGTATAGGCTTGGTGCATTCTCCGCCGGTGCTGCCACCGCCGGAGAACTCGTAAATAACCAATACATACAAATACACGGGTTTAAATGGCGAGTAAACGAAAAAATTAGTATACAATTAATTAATCTAAAAGTGTTAGAAAGTGTAATTTGTGAAAATTCTAAACAAAAAAATAAAAAGGTAAATATTTTGATATCTTCCTCTAACTTGCATTATAATTTATTATTCCGGTTAAAAAAATTAGATGATTTCAACTACGGTAGCGAGCATAGTTTTATCACCGGTTTTGCTAGTGGGGTATAATTATAAGAACAAACGACTTACCTGTAGGAAGTTCGTTCTGAATTATATGAGTATCCTCGTCCAAATAGATATACACCCGTAGTATCATTATCATACTTTATCGAGCACATTTTATTCCCAATTACGTAAAGAATGCATTTTTTATTAGCCATAGACCTTAGTCATCCGTACCCGACCGTCAGCCTTCTCATAACATTATTTTGCTTTTAAATCAAAAAAGAATTTCTTGGGAGGGCTAGTATCGGTAGGGTCGGGACGTTTGGACGAGGATACTCATATAATTCAGAACGAACTTCCTACAGGTAAGTCGTTTGTTCTTATAATTATATTTCGTATCCTCGTCCAAATAGATATACACCCGTAGATGTTGAAAGAAAAGAAATTCTTTTGTGGCAGTTTATATTTTGCTATTTTTTCCAACAGGTGATGTAAAATATACATAATCTTATGACGTGTAATTATTTGACATTTAACATTTGATTAATTTAATACAATTTATAGTAACATAACTATAAACGTATATTTAAATATAATATGTCAAACCCACAAAACAAAAATATATATAATCTACTCCTACATACATGTTATTATATTATATAACAAAATAGCAAAAAAAATTAATGTAATATAATATGCATCACATAATTATGATTCTAAATTAGTACAACACATAGTAGTAGTATAACACATACATATTATACTAAGGGTCGGCATTTTTGGTCTTGGGTGCCGGTTTTCATGTGTACGAAGAGTACGGTCAACACGCTTAGTAAAATAAGATGTACTGAATAAAGACAAAAGGCGAGTATTTTCCCAAGCGCATGGAATCTAACGTCAGATTAAGTAGTTAAGTAATAAATACTTCGTATTTTTGCTCACTCCGACTTAGTAGATTGCCATAACGACTCACTCCTATACATTATACATATTGTTTGAAATACTTTTGATTTTGATTTTGAAACATTTAATGTTTTTGTGTATCGGTTTTTATTTTTTATAAAAGCGCCACACAGTTCCTTTTATCTAATTTTTTGCTTTTTTTTTTAATTTGTATATTGATATTTTAAAAAAAAAGGTAAATAAACTATTTGAATTTGAATTATAAGTAATTAGAAAAATATAAAACATACTTATTAACATTAACACAATAAAGAGCAACTTACTAGAGCAGTTTATAATGACTGCACTTGCTTCCTGCATGTTTCTATAAAGTTATTTTTTTGTTTTCTGTTTTATTTTTTTTTTCCTTTATTCAGTGGACGAGTATAAATTGTTTGAAATACTTTTGATTTTGAGGTCCACCCTATGGTATTCTTTATTTGATCATTATTAAATCCCTTTCTGTAGGCCGCTGAAGACGTCGCGTATGTAATACTGTGAGTACTAAACAATTTTGTGTTGATCCAGCGACTTATAGACTGGGAACTTGCCACTTTGTGTTTTTTTTTTTTAAGATAATTCTCTTCTCCTCTTAATGATTCAGTTCTTTCTAGGTAAGCTTCTAAAGTGCTGGCAAACATAAATCTTAATAGAAGAGTCGTCTACTTCAGCTATATTTTTTAGTGTCTGAACTCTCTGGCCAGTTGCAAGAATTAGGAGAGTAGCAAGCTTTTTTGTGAGCAATTCTAATGAAAAATTTTCGAGTGGACACCATCTTTTTATAAATTTAAGGACAAGTCAAGGACAATCGACCATTTCCAGATTTTAGTAGTGATAAAAGGTGCAAATATTTTACACCTCCCATTTTATTAGTATATGATATTCTTGGTCTCAAAAACCTCTAGCGTTTAAATAATTACAATAGGTACCCTAACCCGATTTTGATGCATCAATAACCTAGTAAGTAAGACTCGAAGTAAGAGTATATTTAGAGGCATGAAATTTTGACCTGCACATTCTGTGTTTCTGAGCCACCAGCCGTAAACTTCAGAAAAAAAAAAACTTGTTGGCACAAAGAACGTGTTATAGTTTTCATTATTTTCCTCAAGGGCTTTGTATTTAGCTCATTTAAATCTCTTAGTATCTATAAAACCAGCTGTATTTATCTGCGGGACAAAAGAAATTAAAGTGCTTGTAAGTTGCAGAAGAAACCATCTTATAGTTAGTATGGATACATACCATCTATATTTTCTGGAAAATTTCAGCACTAACTTTTAATCTTACATTTCTTTGTGTCTGTAGGATACATTTCCATTAATTTTGTATTTAAAATAAAATCTAAGTATGAAATTTCTTGAGTAGACGTGAAGATACTTTTTTTTTTATTTATTTATTTATTATTCTTTTTTTTTATTTAATTTATATTTCCAGTAAATTCCGCTAAATGTTTGTCTAATAAAAGAACATCGTCAAGATAACAGTTGTTAATTACCGGTGTTCAGGGTGTTGAAAAACATATGCATAGTGCAAATTCCAAGAAAAAGAGCTTAATTTTTTTTTTTTTATTATTACTATTATTATTATTATTATTTATATTTTAAAAGTATAATTTAAATTCCAGTTTTCTGCAATGAGAGTTTCTGGATAACTATATTGTTTAGGTTAGTCTTAAATTTTAGGTTTAGGTCTACTAGTTTAGGACCTAAAAGGTATCGTAATCGTAACCATATTTATTATAACCTTTTAAATAACTTAAAACAAATTTGTTATGTGTTATTTTCAACCATTGGCTGTAAATAGTCAATTATACCAGCATATTTGTTTTGAGTTCTAACCTGAATTATTGTCTTCTCCAATGTATTCTGCCTTCTTTGGAATTCTTGTTTCCCCCTCGTTCTTTTTAAAATGACTCTTCTAGGAATTTTCCCCTTCTTATCTTCTCATTATTCTGTCTGTGGACCTTCACCTGGATCTCAAAGCACTCATATTTAAGTGTTTTGATTTCTGAGATGAGCCTGCTAGTATTTTCAAGATTCTTGGCTTCTTTGCATTTTTCACTAAAACTTTACTAAAAGCATATCATCGCTTATTTGGCCAATCGCCACGCTTTTAATTTTGCTATTCAAGTGTGAATTTAATAAAAAAAGAAAACCTTACAATGGTTCGTACAGTAGGATGCTCCTAACATAACGATTTCTCTAAATCTATCAGATTTTAAGGGCAACTGCAACCTGGCTATTTTCTTTGGAAAGTTTCACTAACCTTGTAATTTTTTGGTCTAGTGGTGACATTGTTTTCCTAAAAACGTGCTTTAGGTCTATCAAAAAATATATTTCTTACTTTCTGTTGGAGAAAACATGATTTGGACCTCCGGATTTAACCTCGGTCCTTAAAATATAGGTACTGCAATTGCTGGGGATGGGAAAATATTTTTAGACTGTCTTTCGTTTCTGTTACTAATTATAAGAAAGATAAGCATCCACCTAATTTCAAGTGTATCACGTATTTTAGGTCCTACTCCTACACAGATCTTTCTCTCTCTCGAATTTGAGTTAATTGATTTTTTTTTCTAGATTTGATTCCGAGGACGATTGGAATTAAATAAATATAAGTTTATTGTAAGCCATAATAATGTAAATACAATTTTTTAACCAATTTATGCTATATTGCAACCAAAAGATCTCTTAATTTATAATGTAATTATATAACATGTAACTCGCAGACAAATCCTAATATAAACTCACTATCAGAATCTGTACCTTTAATAAAAGGCAAAAAATTTTGTAAAGCGTTTAAAATATTTTATAAACTCAGCCTAAGCCTTGTATATAAGAATATATTTATAAACAAGCGCCTAAAGTACATTTGTGTAACTTCAGCAGTTCCCCGTCCCCATAGCGAGATGTTTAGTTTAAGCCTTGGTTTAAGAATCGATAGCGGTCACCTAGGTACTCATTTTTGTAAACAAATAGCTTTGGGATTTTTATTTTTTATTATTAAACAGATTCAGATTCGTTTTGACCTGTCTAAAAAAATAAAGTTCATTATTTTATCAAAAGTTATTAAAATTAATTTTAATTAAATTCATTATTTTATCAAAAGTTATTTCTAGGGCAAAAAACACTCTAGAAAAAGGTAAACAAACAACAATGTTGCGTCACCTTGCCTTGTAGAAAAGCACTCCGTTCGGCGTTTTGTGGCCGGGTATAACATAATATATAGTTACCTGTTTGAGTACAAGCTTTTATTTAATCAAAACTGCAAAGCAGATTTTTCAAATACATACAAGTCACAGAATAAAGGATCTGATATCTAGATCATTTTAATAGTTTTCTGAGACATACTAGCGTGCATAAGTCAAGGACTATGTTGGGTTACAATGTGTATATGAGCATATGTTTACATCCAAAAGGTGGATTAACCCAAGCTAGTAAATATTAGACAAAATCATAATACTTGTCTTACCA